AGAACTTCCGTATAGCCACTTACTACCATGCAAGCAATTCAGGCTTGATACACTGGATCCCACTTTAAATCCAATTCTTCGTATCTATCTCTGGCCCGAACACCCCTGCCGGACTCTCCCTACCTTTTTTCATCCTTTTGCATTCATTTGCGCATTCTCCTTGGGGCGTTAGACAGTCTGTGCCTAGCTTTTGGTGCGAACAGATGTTAAGGCCACGTCGACAGCTGATGGCAGCACTTCCGCTGCTCAGGCTGCGGTAGACGTTGTTGGAGCACCATGGGTACACGCAGAATCTATAAACCATTTCACTCAGCAGCATTTTTTTCCTCCCTTCCCATGTCAGGAGGAGGGTTTGCCAGGGCGGGGTTGCTGACAGGGAAGCCTAGGGCCTGGCCTTTTTTCGGATTGCGCCATCAAATCTGCCAACAAACTGCCGTCGCGTTTTCCCTTTAGAGAGTGGGACGTCGTGGGTGCGGGTGTCACCAGCAATCTCACCGGTACTGATGGTCATCTGGGCCTCCTGCACTGCAAACTCTGCTGACGAGCAGCAATTGTTTTGACCGCGCAGGCAGTGCCACCGGTCGAGTTCGAAGAGGCCACTGTCTCTCTTCCAGCCAGGTCCTCTCCAGTGCCCCGCCTCGTTCCCTCAGGTCCTCGTTGAGGACGACCTGGAGCAGGCACGACAGCTGCGGGTCCTAGGCTTGTCCGCGTGCCGCCGCTCGAAGCCGGTTGGAAGAGGGCGACACGAAAGGCAGGACAGCCGCTCCACCGGAGGAGAGTTGCTGAAAGGAAATTTCGTGTGCCTAATTTCCGTGTTACGGACACTCAAAAGCTGTAGCTCCAGTTAGGTAGTCTCTGCTGCTCTAGCTCCAGTAAGCTCTACTTTGCATAGCTCTAGCTCCAGTTAGTTCTAGTTGCAATAGCTCCAGTTACTTCTAGTTTCAATAGCTCTAACCCCAGTTGGCTCTTGTTTCAATAGTTTCAATACACTTTGCCCCACTGACGGCCACCGCTAGTTTGTTCGCGCAGCGACTCGCCTGCTTGTACGGCCGTGCATCGCTCCTGTGCTGCACTTGCGCACACAGGCCATAGACCTATGGCGTAGACACACACTTAGGATAGGGTGTATTGAACTGAAAGCGGCGCCACACGCCGGCCTAGGTTACCAATTCCTAAGGGTACAAGTAAGGCAACCTGAAAAGGAAGAAACCTGAAAAGGAAGTGGAGGTCCATCCAGTTCCGCGTGGCCATCAACTCTAAAGGAACCGTCGAACGACCGAGCGACAGAGTGACGTCGTCCGAAACCAAAGCCCTATGCGTGACTGCCGAGAGCAAACCGGTGCACAGGCTGGATTTCTTGTTTTGGGTACAAGCAGGGCCCGGAGATTGGAGTAATTATCACAGCAGGTACAGGAAACTGGCCAAGTTTCCCTTCCCACTCTCGCCCACTGCTTCATTGCGTGTGGTAGGACGAGAGTGCCACACGCCCCTGCTGCACAAGGAAAACAACTGTGAAGCTAAAACAATCCGAAAGGATCCCCATGATTCCAAGGGTTACACACACACACACTTATTATCCAATTGTGGATGTTCGTACTTGGGCATAGCCCTCGGGGCCTCCCCTGCCCCCCGGCGCTTCCGTAGGCCACTCAACGATAAAACTGCAACTAGCTGCTGACTTTGTTCCTGTTAAGCAAGACTGTTAGCGTTGTTCCTGCCGCCAACGCAGCCACAATATAGGCAAACCATCTGGCGGAGCACCGTGACATACCAGCTGCTACGGGCGATGCCCCACTTCTATACGTCAATACGTCCTGTGTCCCGAGCGGGTGTGTGTATGTGTGTGTGTGACCTGCCGTGTTTGTCAGGTTGCCCTGCCGCCCAGGACTGGGCGGCCTCGCACTGTCTTTTCGCGTCCGCCGCAACCGCGGCCGATTACTGTCTTCTCACCCTGACACACTGCGGTGCGTGCCGAAAAGTTGTGCCTTCGAACATGTCTTGTATACTTACCACAACTGCCGCCTCGTTATTTTCTTCTCAGACCCCGTGTAGATTTCATTTACCACTTCCCCGCTGCAGATCACGCAGCCTCCCCCGCAAATATTCATACTTACATACAAATTTTTCCCCCCCATTTTTCTCCGGGCGATTTTTCGGTGGGCATGTCGGACATCAGCCTCACCTACGAGGCGTGGACCGTGTTGTTGTACGCTGCGCAGCTTTTTGCTGATTTTTCCTCTTGCAGGAGATCTTGGAGATTGTCGATACTCCGCTCTCACGGAACAGTTGGGCGCATCTGCTGGCCGTCCTGCGTCGCACTTTCAACATAGCTGCTCCCGCTTTCAACGCCCAGACTTGGGCTTCGGCAATGGAGGTTCGCTTTGGTCCTCACTGGACGGCCGCGTGTCAGTCACCGCGCAGTTTTCCTGCACTCTGGCAGCCGCTTCTACTGCGGCATTCCTTACACCTGCCGGTGCAGCACGCCGACATTCGCGGGCTCCGCGCTTGCCACGCCTTTCTCGCGGGGCTCGGCGTTCCCATTGCTTTCAACACGTGGCAACGGCTTCGCCCCCTGGCTCTCCAGGCCTATCCGGCCAGTCTTTCGGAGCTTTCTCCTCCAGATCTGGCCCGCTTGCTGTGGGCGCTGCATGGTCCTGCGGCCGCCGTGCCCGTACACTGCACGGACGACATCTTTGCGGCTGGACTTCAACGCCTCCACGAGTTCCTCCCTCCTGCTGCCCCACCGGATGCTCCCCAGCCGCTCCTGTCGCAGCCACCTCGTCGTTCTATTTGCCGCCGTGCCCTCAGGGAGCGCCTCACGACTACTGCCACCGCTTTGCAAGACTTGGCCGCTGCCTCCGTTGCTCCCCTTCCATTGCCGCCCGCAGCTGTGTCCGGGCGTTTGCTTGAACTGTCCCAGAGCTTGCAGGATCTGGTGCTGCGTCTGCCTCGCTCCACTTCCGTGCGGGCGGCCAGCCTGGCCAACCTCCGGCCACGCAAACGTACCCGGGTCGAGTCAGAATCTACAAGGGCATCCTCACGCCCGCGCCGTGCGGCAGCGCCGTGACGCAGCGCTGTGCGACCGCACTGAAAAGGTTTGCCCACCGTGCTGACCGTGCTGCCCTTGCTTTTGCATTGCTGTCTGCAGGGCTGTATGTATAAGACTTCCATGCCCCTAGCTCTAACATGTTTTCTACCGTCACTGACGCTTGACATGAACACTGGTCAGTTTTTTTTCCTTGCTTGTTCATAGCTTCTGCATTTTTGTTCGAACGCACACAGACCTTTCATTCGATCCCCACTATTTTTTTTCCCATTTGCTCACCCTCTTCCAACAATACCACTCTACACCGACGTCGGCCTCCCTTCAACAATTCTAGTCTATTTTCACATGTGTTCGCTACATTAGGGGTACCCTTTCCCCAGTACACGTCAGACTTTCTACCCCCGCATGTGCCATCATGTGCTCCTCTACCTCTTTGTGTCTCTTTTCTTTTTCCCGCGCCATGCCGCTCCGTGTGCGCTACCGCCGTAGCCGTCGCTGCATTGCCGTTCCGACGCCTTGCATGGCTGTGGCAGAAGCCCGCTACGCAGCCCTGCAAGCCG